CCTGGGCAAATCTGAAAGTTTTCCAAGAATGAATGGACAGAGAGTTGGACCCATGTGCCATTTTGGTGTAAATTGTGGCACATAGAATATCTCCCCAGGGCAGGGAGGACCGCAGTTACATCCTGGCCGGGCCAACATCTTGGGTCTCGGGGGCACTTGCTTCTCTCTAAGGTTTAATTGGCAAATGATGGTTGTGCACCCTCTGGACTGGGGACCGGCTGCTGACCCGCATGGGACACACGCTCAGTCGGAGACCTGGCCACAGCCCTGAGTGCTCCAGAGGAGAGGGTCGGACTCTGCCTGGGCCAGAAAGGGCTGAGAGTGGAGGGACTGGCCAGAGGACGGGAAGCATGAAGGATGCGCAGAGGGGTTCTGGCAGAAACGGTGCACGTGCAAAGGCTTTGGCGCCTGAAGAGTGTGGTGTGTTTGCGAAGGGTGTGTGGGTTCTGTGAAGCTGGAAGGGGCATGCTGAGTGGGTGGGAGGGCAGGAGGTGAGGCTGTAGGGATGGGTGGGTGGGACCAAACAGAAAGGGCTCCAAATTTGAGATGGGACTAGAACCTTGGGTTCTGAAGTGTTGGGAGCCTTCACTATGGCTAAATCTTGATTTTTGGCAACCGAGGGGTTTTTGTAGCGATGATGAGGTTCTTCTTCTTATTCAACAAATATTTATTGAGCGCTTTCTATGCTTGAGATATTACCCTGGGCCCGGGACACGACCTGCTGTGCCAAGACAGACAGAGCCCCCAGCCGCCTCAGGCCTGTAACCATCAGCAAGTAAATGCCTCGCTGAGCTGATGACAAATGTGATGGGCGCTCTGATGGAGATCCTGAGTGATGGGAGAGTAGGGAGCAGTCAGGGGAGGCCTCCTAGAAGAAGTGACACTTGAAACATGTGAGGTGCTGAGAGAAGCCTTCCAGGCAGAAAGAACAGCTTGTGTAAAGGCCCCGAGGTGGGAGGAAGTGTGGTGGGCGTGAGGAACACAGACTGCCTGGATTGCCACATTGGAAGGGGCTGGGGGAGGTGTTGGCCTATGTTTCTTGGCATTTCACGCCTGTGAAATGAGAGCTGTCCTGTAGATTCGGGCCCCATCCCCCTGCCCTGGGGGGGACAGTGCTCACAGCTGAGAGATGCCCCGAAATCCTCTCCATTAGTCACACCACTTGTCTGGCTGTCACCTGTGCCCAGGAGACATAGAGAATCCAAGATGAGTTTACTTTTTCTTCTTTCACTTCTGGCCATCTGGCCTGGCCTCCCTCTAGTTCACTTTCTCTCTAATGAGTGGCTGCGTCAGCAGGACTCTGGCCTACACAACCCTGAGAGAGAGGCTGGAGGGTCAGTCCTCTGTCCAGACCCTTGGACAGTCCCATTATCTCCTGGGTGGGGCAGGTCCCTGCACAGACTGACTCCTCCAGGCCAGTGTTAGCCCCACCACAGGTGGGGACAAGGACCCTGACTGGGGTCACACAGCCTCCGCCAGGCTTAGAGCCCAGTTCTGGGTCCTCATGCTCACTGCCACCCCCTTTAGGGGCATATTCCCCCCCTTAAACATTTTGAGCAGATTAGGGCTTCGCTTTTCTAATCTGGGGCAGAAGACTCCACTGAATCTTTCTTGGGATATTTAGGCCAAACAAACAAACAAATCCTGAAATCCCCAATGAGTCGTGTCTCTGCTGGGCTCTGGTGGTCATGGGCTTCAACGGGCTTCTCTACGTGTCCAGCTCTTGGGGGAGACTGCCCCTGGCTGGTCAGAGAACCAGTCCAGCCTCCCCACCAGTGTCTGGGGAGTGGTAAAATTTTGGCTCACCCCCTGTCCTCCAGGCCTGTCTCCCTCTGTACCAGAAACTAGTCAGAGCCACGCCAGCACTGGGCTGTCTGAGCCTTGACCTCTGTGATGTAGCCTATGTAATCACTCCCTGTGGCCACGCAACTGGTATATGACAGAGCTGGGGTCTGAACTCAGGCTTGTCTGGCTCTCTGCTGCCTTCTGGCTTTTGGATCCTCACTACCAAAGGAATAACTCTCAAATGGTAGAATTTCAGGCAATGGGGAGGAGGGATTCCTAGCAGGAGTCTCCCTTTCAGCCACAGTGAGGGGAGCCTCCATACCTACCCTTAAATGAGAGCATAAATGGGAAAATGCTGTGAGTTAGTCAAGAGCTATGTGAATACGGTGTGCTGTTAGAACGCCTCCACCCCCACTGAACAGATAAAGGTACTAAAAAGTTCACTGGGGGACAGGGACTTCGGTGAGGCCTGGTCGGGGCCTGGAAGCCAGGCCTCTGCCTTTAGTCTAGGCCCCTCCTCCTCCAGCTGTCAGGTCTCAGCTTGGATGTGCCCCTGCACACTGGCTCCAGAGTCCAGCAGGGTGCTGAGGGGCAAAGTGGTCAGTGAAAGCCTCAGACACCTGCAGCCCCAGCCCAGCAAAGGGGGGGGCCTGAGGCCCGGGGAGTGGAGTGTGGTGGGCTGTGCAGCCGAACAGATGTGGTTGTCGCTTGCTGTTGGCAACTCTGGGCAAGTTATCTAACTTTCTGAGCCTCGTGTGCCACATCTTTAAAATGGGCATAATCATACCCCCACCTCACAGAGCCACCGTGAGGTGTAAATTACAAAGCCATAAAGCTACTGAGCACAGCTCAGTAAGCGGCCCAGCTTTCGGCTGTCAGCCTGTGCCTTACGACCAGCTGACCACAGGAGCTCACCTTCCAGAGCAGGCCTGTCCCTTCCCACGGGGCAGGGCCCTGGAGGGTCCTTCTCCCGCAGACCGAAGCCCCGCCTCCTGCCCCTGCACCACCCTTCTTGGGTTGGGGAGTCAGAGACTGTGGGTGTGTCTGTCTGGGGGGATCCCTGAGCAGAACTGGGAAATTTTGAACAGAGGAGGAACAGTGCTCTTGGCTCTGAGCTCCCAGAGCACTTAGTCACCTAGACTAGGTCAAGCACGGCTCCCAGTTCCTGGGCTTTTCTACTGTGGCCTCTATTGCTGTTGAAGTAGTTGTGTCACGGCTGTTTCTCTGCTGATGGGGGCTCCTAGCTTTCCTGGACCCCAGTATAGGGCCTGGCTTAATACACGTCTATCAGGTGAACAAACAGATGGATGGGCTTTTTATATTACATTTTTTATTGTTAGGTAATTGTATATAATTTACATACAGTTGTAGGAAATAATACAGAGGGATCCTATGTACCCTTTACCTAGTTTCCCTCAATGGAAAAATCTTGCAAAACTGTAGTATAATTATCATAACCCAAATATTGACATAGGTACAACCCACCAATCTTACTCAGATTTCACCATTTTCACTTGTATCACCCTGTGGTTTTTTAGTTTGATGCAGTTTCACTGCATGTGTATGTTCATGAATCCACCACCACAGTCAAGATATAGAACTCCCATCACTTTGCACACACTGGGGTCCTCCCTGTCGCCCCTGTATAACCAAGTCCCTCCAGCCTCCCCATCACCCTCTCCCCCTAGTCTCCCCACCAACCACTAATCTGTTCCCATCTCTATAATTAGGTCATTTCAAGATTGCTTTATAAATAGAATCATGTGGTTTGTAACTTTTTGAGATTGCTTTTTCCCTCGGTGTAATTCACTTGAGATTCATCCAAGTAGTTGCTTGTATCAGTGGTTCATTTCTTTTTGTTTCTGAGTGGTGTTCCGTGGTCTGGGCGCACCACAGCCATTCACCCGTTGAGTGGTAGGTCTCTCGGTGAGCTTGTTTCCACTTTGGCCTATATCAAATAAAGCTGCCGTGAACATTCCTATATAAGTTTTTTGTGAATGTGTTATCATTTCTATGGGATAAATGCCCAAGGTGCACTTGTTGGGTTGTATGGTAATTGCATGTTTACTTTTCCATGGTTTTATCATTGTATACTCCCACCAGCCGTGAATGAGTGATTCCAGTTTTCCACATCCTCGCCAACATTTGGTGTTGTCACCGGTTTTTATTTTGGTCATTCTGATGTTTGCGTAGTGATATCTCACAGGAGCAGATGAATGGATTCTGCTGTGCCTTGTCACTGCCCCTGTGGCACTGGGCCTCATTTTGAGGGTTTCCATTGAGCCATCACCATCACTGTCATTGGCAGTCCCTTGAAGGCAAGGCTTAAAGCCACTCCTCTGGCTCCTCTTCTGGCCCGGGCCTCACCCGGGGAGAGGCTCATTTCAGTCCTTACTGGGGAAAGGGCAGTTGGAGTTAAGATGCTGAGAAAAGCCGCTGGATGTGACCCAGCCCCTCACAGCAAGTAGCTACTGCTGTTTGAAAAGCACCTCCTGTTTCAGAACAAAAAGTTCAGCGTTTACGAAGCCAGCTGTGGGCCAGCCCTGGGCCAGATTCAGAATGGGACTCTGAGACACCAACTCCCACCTATGGCGGGTCCTGGTTCCCTGAATCTTGGTGGAGAACAGAGAGTCTGACCGGGCGTGATGGAGTCTTGGGGGAGGTAGACTGGTGTGTGGGGTTTTCACATAACAAGGTGAGGGGTGGGGTGGGAATGGCAAGATGTGGGGAAGGACAGCTGAGCCCTGAAGGATGTGTTGGTCTCTGACCAGACAGGGAGAGGGCATCCAGGCAGAGGAAACAAGGGTGGAGGGAAGGTAGGGTAGGAGGAAAAGACCTGGGCAGGGGAGTGGTAGGTCTCTCGGTGAGCTTGAGGACAAGTGAGGTTAACCATTCCTTAGCTGTCCTGACCGTCACTCTGCTGTCACCATCCAGCCCATGCCCCGGATGGGTAAGACCTTTGTGTGGGACTCAGGTGGAGGGTGTGTTTGGTCCATGTGGGCATCCCCCACTAGACTTGGCCTTGGCTCAGCATGAAGGTGGGCAGGGCCTGTGTCTGTCTTGGTCATTGCTGTGTCTGACCCCCATTCTCCTGCTCCAGAAATCCTCACCGAGGCCAGAGCTAGGGTCAGGTCAGGTAGGGCCTCAGCCCTGAAAGGGGCTCGAGAGGGCTGGGGCCTCACCTTCTCTCCTGCCCTCCTCTCACCCATCTGCAGGTTCATCATGCCTAGTGGCGTATAAGAAGACCCCGCCACCGGTCCCTCCACGCACCACATCGAAGCCGTTCATCTCCGTCACGGTCCAGAGCAGCACTGAGTCTGCCCAGGACACCTACCTGGACAGCCAGGACCACAAGAGCGAAGTGACGAGCCAGTCCGGCCTGAGCAACTCGTCGGACAGCCTGGACAGCAGTACCCGACCGCCCAGTGTGACACGGGGCGGAGTCACCCCAGCCCCCGAGGTCCCTGAGCCACCCCCAAAACATGCAGCTTTGAAGAGCGAACAAGGGACGCTGACCAGCTCCGAATCCCACCCTGAGGCCATTCCCAAAAGGAAACTGTCATCTATAGGAATACAAGTAGGGGCCCCTTTCGCACTCTGTCCTCGGCCCACGCCGTGCACCTGCCTGCGTGTAATTACATCTGGTGGAGGCCCACTAGGTCTCTTGGGCAAAGGTGGTTTGTCTGTTTTGGGGGGTCGGCCCCAAGTGGCCAGACCAAATTCCACCCATAGTCACGTCTTCCTCACGTTCGCCCGAACATGCTGCGGGCTCTGCAGCTGTGGGCAGGTGTCCCTGCTCCAACGATGGGTTGTCCCAGTGAATGTAGTTACACTCAGCCAGCCATCTCCTGTCCACTGTTTGCCTGTCCACTGTCTGTCTGTTCACTCCACCCTTTGCCCTGGCAGCTGACGCGTGGGAGGCGGGACTGGCCTAACAGTTCTCTGATCCAAGGTCAGCTCCGTTGCAGAGGCCACAGCCCCGCCTGGCGGTGGGAGCAGCGTGGAGCGTAGACGCCGAGGGCCAGGGGCCCAGGACTCAGGGCCCTGGAGCCTTGGGGGTTGCTCAAGGGGAACTTTGCCCAGAGCCCTCTCGGGCCTTGGGGACAGGTAGGTTGCTTGAGGTGCCAGGCCCATGTCAAATTGAGAAGTGGGATGTCGGTCCCAGTGCATCCCTCTGTGAGAAAGGATCCAGGCAGATAATTCCCCGGGACCAAGTGGCCAAAGCCAGCAGACCCTTCAGGAAGCCAGGCTCACTGTGCGCCCGTGGCCAGGGCACACAGCAGGGCAGGGTGCGCCAGCTTCCCCTCCACTGCTTCACTGCACCTCCTGCATGCACTTAACATCAGTAATCTGCCTGCTGTTAGCTGAGTGGGGAAAACTTGGGCCCTGCCTTGCAGCTTTCAAGAGTTGCTCTAAATCCAGACTAAAGTGGAGCATACTCAGGGCAGGAAGGGAGGGCAGCTACAGTGAGCTAGGAGCTTGGGGGAGGCAGAGCCCCTCCAAACCCAGAGGGCGATCAAGGAGGTCCAGCTGGTGTGCATTGTGGCTTAGATTGGACAGGATCTCCGTTTCCCCAGCCACCCCTGCGCAGTGGGGCATGGCCGAGTAGGTGACAAAGCACCAAAATTACAGAAGGAACATGGGACTCAAAGGGGGGCAGAATGGACCAGAGATGGCTCACTGGCCGATTTCTTGCACTTGCCTCTTGGAGAGGAAAAATTTGGGCACATATACAAGAAGAAAGTCGGCCAGGAGACTATTCAGTTTTCTGGGCTCCTTCATAAGGGGTCCGGCCCCTGTCCTGTACAGCTCTCAGGAGAGACTAAGGAATACAGAAAATAGTCTAGTCCCAGGGTCTTTGTTTGGGCAGCCCCACCCTCTCCTTGGCCAAACCGGATGTTCTTATCTTTCCAGAAGACCTGAGAGAGTTAGACTCACCCTGATCCTTTCACTCGGCAGTTCACACGGGGCTGAGTACTCTGACTCTTGGGCCCATCCAGGCTTCTCCCCCGGGTTCACCCCACCCCCACTCCATGCTCTCCAGGCAGCTTCTTGAGATCCGGTGATATTGCATCCTCTGAGCTGGCTCTTGCTGAAGGAGAAATGCAGCTGCACCCCCATGGCAAGGAGGAGCCTGGTGCTCAGTCCCTGCCCGGGAAAGCCTCCCTCGCCTCTGTGAAGCCAAGAGACGAGAGTCTCCTATTTCCAAGGACATCCCTACAACTCTCGTCCCACCCCTTGGTGCCTCGAGCCCTGGGTCAAGTGTGTGTTCTCCCTCATTCATGAGCGGTGGCGGAGGGGCTGACCTGGCTGCTCTGTGGCCACGTACCTCTGTCCCCGGAAAAGAAAGGTAGGCCCAGGGCATCACTGGTACAGAGAAAGAGTGCCAGCTTTGCACGTGGCTCCCCTGGCCCATCCAGCGCTGAAGGTAACCTCAGCCAAGTGTGATCAAGGCCCAGGGCTGGCATTCCATAGGGCCCAGGGACTTGGCCGGCTCTTGCCTTGGTTGCAGCTTTCAAATCCAGAACTGCTGTCCAAGGTGTGCCCCTAGTGCCGGCGCCTCCAGCCTGCCCTTCACCTGCAGGGTTGGGGGAGCGATCTTTGCCTCGAGACAGCCCCGCTTCAACTACACCAGATAACGGCTGTGGCTTTGTGTGTGTGTGTTTTCTTTCTCTTTCGTTGTCCTTTTTTTTTTTTCTTCTCTCTGATGCGTGTGAAGGAGAGGACTAGAAGGAACGATTCCCACCTCTCGGAGGACAACGGACCCAAAGCGATCGATGTGATGGCACCCTCCTCAGAGTAGGGAAAGCCAGTCATCTCCACCCCATCCCACCTCCCACCCACCTGCCCGCCCGCCTCCGCGCGAATGAGCAGTGCCCGGCTTAACCTGGTCCGGCCTCGGGCCCACGTGCAGTGTCCGCATGCCTCGTGTCTGTCTGTCCACACGTCCGTTTGCGTCGTCCCACTAACGTGAATTTCAGCAGCAAGTGTGGTGTTTGTTCTTTATTTTTGTCTTTGTCTCCGTGCCGTTGCTGTCGTTGTCCTTCAATAAGGTTGACTGCATTCAGCCAGTGCCAAAAGAGGAGCCCAGTCCCGCTACCAAATTCCAGTCCATCGGGGTTCAGGTAGAGGACGACTGGCGGTAAGTGGCACCGAGGTGTTGGCTGCCTCTCCCCTCTCCTCTCCCTCCCTCTGCTCTCCCCTCTCCTGCGCCTTCTCCTCCTGCTCTCCCTAACCCACTTCTCCTTGCTGGATTTCTAGTAACCGAGCTGGGTTTGGGGTGCGGGCGGTGGCCCAGGTGTGGGAGGCTGGGCGGGCGGGCGTGCTCAACGAGCGCTTGCTCTGTGAGATTAATCAGCCACGGGGGCCGAGGCCGGGCGGAGACATGGCCTGGCACCCCGATGTTGGTGGGCGTCCTGGCCCCAGTGCAGTAAACAGGCAACCTTATGACCTTGTCTGTGTGTGTGTGTGCGTGTGGGCGGGGTGGGGGCTGAGCAGAGAATGAGACGGGGGCTGTGGGACCCGCTTCAGGCGCATGGTGAGCAGACGATGCATCCGTTTCTCTGTCTCCCGTGTGTCCGGGTCGGGGTGGCCTCTGGTCTCTGGCCCTCTGGGTGACTCACCCCTTACTGTCCCCACCCCACTCCACCCCGCACCCACAGAAGCAGCGCCCCGTCTCACAGCATGTCCTCCCGACGGGACACCGACTCGGATACCCAGGATGCCAACGACTCGAGCTGTAAGTCATCTGAGAGGAGCCTCCCAGACTGCACCCCACACCCCGACTCCATCAGCATCGATGCCGGCCCCCGGCAGACCCCCAGGATTGCCCAGATCAAGCGCAACCTCTCCTATGGAGACGACAGCGACCCTGCCTTAGAGGCATCCTCGCTGCCCCCGCCCGACCCCTGGCTGGAGACGTCCTCCAGCTCCCCTGCGGAGCCAGCACAGCCAGGTGCCTGCCGCCGGGACGGCTACTGGTTCTTGAAGCTGCTTCAGGCAGAAACGGAGCGGCTGGAAGGCTGGTGCTGCCAGATGGACAAGGAGACCAAAGAGAACAGCCTCTCTGAAGAAGGTGGGCTCTGTGAGGCCGGCCCCGGGGGCGGGGCGGGAGGGGTGCGGGTGCCAGCCCCAGCCTCCGAGGTGGGGGTGGGGGTTCTTAGGTTCTCTTCCTGGGTCGGTTGTGATTCCACCCCTTACTCTCATTCCTTCCTTTCTTCCATCCATCCACCGACCCAACCAAACCTTTTTCCAGAAAGGATTTACGGCGGCAGCCGCTAGTTGCACTGGCTGTGGGGTCAGCAGCCCCCGGGTTGGAATCCTAGCTCTTCCCTTACTAGTGAAGTGACCTTGGGCAGGTTCCTTGAGCCTCAGTTTCCTTACCTGTAACGTGGAGATAATCCTACCCTCTGATGCGGCGGTGCATGTTCAGGGCCCGACGAAGTGACGGACACAGAAAGTTGGCACCATAATTATGCCTTTGGCGGCTCCTTATTGAGCACCTACTGTGTACCAAGCGCCAGGGATCTAACTGTGAACCTCAGCAGGGTGTGAAGAACTATGAATGGGTTAGACAGAAGTCATCTACCTTCCCACTTAGGCTTCTGTCTATACCATGCCTGTTTCCAAAAATTCCCCCGAGAAATTAGAGAATAGTTCTAGAAAGAGCTAGAAATATGTAGGGAGCCTAGATTCACAGGTGTTTGATACAGGGGAAGGGTGGTTTGGAGGCAGGCCCCTGGGAAGCTCCGGCCCCTAGATGGCTCCCCTTCACAGACCGTGCAGGAAGTACAGGTCTCCGGAGTATCCAGAAGGGATGGAGCCAGCATCCCACCGACCCCTGGTGGGGCAGGGCCTGAGGAAACCACCCCTTGATGACTCAGAGGCCCTGTTTTCACTCTCTCTAGGCCAGTCCCCAGCTTTGATGTCACACCCACTGGTGTGCAGGGAACTGTTGTGAGGTATATACCTAACAACCTTTTACAATACTAGTATTTACAAAATCAGAACAGAGGCAAGGATCAGAGAGAGCACTAAATGGCTTCTAACAGAAACCATCCAGCCCTCTGCCCTTCCTCAGCCTTCCCCACTTTCAGCTCTCATCAACTGTGTATTCTGGTATTTACCTTCATATTTCTTTTTCATTTTTAAGTGGGTTTACCTTTTATTTCCTCTCAAATTAATCATTAAGTATTGATCTCTACTATAATAGCTCAGTATTTAGCTCTGTCACCTCTGCTTCCTGTGCCCCACCCTCTGTATATTACATCAGTTTGAGGTTAAAAAACAACCAGTATTTCTGTTTGCTATGAGCATGTAAATGCTGTTCACTGCAGAGCCTTGTAGTATATTAATGATTTCATTTTCTTATACATTTTGTTTTTCCTAGAATGAATGGTTGCCTCACTTTTTTATACACTTTATTTTCTAAGCTCTTATTTGTAATTTTTTTCACACGCTCCACCAGATTGGCCAGCCCCTCATCAATATTATTTTCCAGGTGTGCAAACGTATCAGATAATCTCATGATCTCCTATTTTTCCTGGTGCCCTCTGTCCTCTGCCCTGATCTGGCCAGCTTGCTTTCTGGGCCTGCTGCCAGGCTGCTGTCCAGAGACTTCCCTTTTCGTCACCTGGGACTGCCCTTGGCTACTTTACTGTGATGGACACCCTGCTTTTTTGGACAACGTGGTCTTCCGCTTTCCTGGTTTTAGCCCCTCGCTTTACGGGAGCACACCTTCAGTTGGAGATAAATTTTTGGAAACTATGTCTTTATTCAGACCTCATGTAGTTTGGCTGGGTGTAAAGAAAATAGTAAATACAAATTATTTTTGTATATAAATATAGATATAATTTATGTATAAATATTAAAATAAAGTTGAAAGTAACTTTCCCTCAGAATCTTAAAGAGGCCGTATTATGTTTAGCTTCCATTACTTGCGATGAAAAGTTTGAGGCCATTCCAGGTCTCAGTCCTTTGTATTATTTTATCTCTGGAAGCTGTTAGGATCTGTTAGGATCTTCACTTTTACCTCTCTTATGAAATTTCTCAGTGATGTGCCCTGGAATGGGTCTTTGTGCCAGTAGTTAATAGGCCACTTTTATGTGGAGACTCAGGTCTTTTGTTTCTTGCAGAAATAGTCTTGAATTAATTTTTTAAAATAATTTCCTCACTTCCACTTGTTCTGTTTTCTCTGTCTGAAATTCCTGTCACTCACATGTTGGATCTGCTAAGTTGATCCTGTCTCTGATCTTTTCTTTCTCTTATCTTTTTGTTGTCTCTCTTTCTGGAAGGCTTTCTTTTTTTTTCCACGCTATAACAACTTTATTGAGATATAATTCACATGCCATAAAATTTGCCCTTTTAAAGTGTATAGTTCAGTGGCAGTTAGTACCCTCATAATGTTGTGCGACCATCACTGTTATCTAGATTCTGAACCTTTCCATCACTCCAAAAAGAAACCCCGTGACCATAAGCAGTCACTCCTCATCCCCTCCTCCCCACTAGCTCTTAGCAACCACTAATTCTGTCTCCGTGGATTTGCCTATTCTGGACATTTATGTAAATGGAGTCATACAGTATGATTGTATGACAGGTCTTTTGTGTCTGGCTTCTTTTGCTGCATGTTTTTAAGGTTCATCCATGTTGTAGCATGTATCAGTTCTTCATTCCTTATTGTGGAGTAATATTCCGTTTTATGGATAATACTACATTTTATTTATACATTTATCTGTTGGTGGACATTTGAATTGTTTCCACTTTTGGGCTAGTATGAATAATGCTGCTGTGCACATTTGTGTACAGGTTTTTGTGTGGATCTATGTTCATTTCCTTTGGGTATATAAGTAGGAGTGGAATTGCTGGGTCATATGATAATTCTGTGTTTAACTTTTTGAGGAACCTGCTAAACTCTTCCACAGTGGCTGCACCATTTAACATTCCCACCAGCAGCACACGAAGGTTCTAATTTCTCCACATCCTCACCAGCACTTGTAATTATTGCTCTTTTTGATTATAGCCATCATGGTGGGTATAGTAGTACCTCACTGTGGTTTTGGTTTTTTTGTGGGTTTTTTTGCGGTACGCGGGCCTCTCACCGTTGTTGCCTCTCCCATTACGGAGCACAGGTTCCGGACGCGCAGGCTCAGCGGCCATGGGTCACGGGCCCAGCCGCTGGGCGGCATGTGGGATCCTCCTGGACCGGGGCACGAACCCGCCTCCCCTGCATGGGCAGGCGGACTCTCAACCACTGCGCCACCAGGGAAGCCCCTCACTGTGGTTTTGATTCGAGTTTCCATGGTGGCTAATAAAGTATAGCATCTTTGCAAGTGCTATTTGTGTGTCTTTTTTTGGAGAAATCTGTTGAGTTTGAGAGGTTTTCTTGAATTTATCTCTAAACTCTGTACATCAGATGTTTACTACAACCATTCGTATAAGAGCTCTTTCTTACTCTGTTCCTTTTTTCATAATATTTTGTCCTTGTTTTATGGATAGAGTATCTTCTTCTACCTTTCTAAGATTTACATATATATTTAAGTTTTCATGTGTCCCTGTGTTGTCTCTGTTTCCTTTAGGATCCTTTTTTCTATGTGTCTTTTTGGGTTGGAGTCTTTCCTGGAATGTCCAGTGATCCTTAGTTGTTTATTCATATTGAAAGTGAGGAACTAACTCAGGGGTAGGAAGGGATGGAGTAGAAGATTTCTGTTTTGGTTGTAAGCCTAGTAGTTCCACTTGCTGTTTTTTAATTTTATGATTTAATTTAAAATAAAACTTTGGAATTCCCTGGCAGTCCAGTGGTTAGGACTCGGCACTTTCACTGCTGTGGCTCAGGTTCAGTCCCTGATTGGGGAACTAAGATCCCGAAAGCTCTGCGGCGCAGCCAAAATATTAAAATTAAAATTAAATAAAGGACTTACCTGGTGGTGCAGTGGTTAAGAATCCGCCTGCCAATGCAGGGGACACGGGTTCGAGCCCTAGTCTGGGAAGATCCCACATGCTGTGGAGCAGCTAAGCCCGTGTGCTACAACTACTGAGCCCACATGCCACAACTACTGGAGTCTGTGCTCTGCAACAAGAGAAGCCACTGCAATGAGAAGCCCACGCACCACAACGAAGAGTAACCCCCACTCACCGCAACTAGAGAAAGCCCACATGCAGCAGCAAAGACCCAAAGCAGCCAAAAATAAATAAAATAAATTTATAAATTGCACGTTATGTTCTTTAAAAAAATTAAACATAATAAAATAAAACTTAATTTTAGAGTTAGCAAAAGCAAACTATATAATATAAAAATAGCAAAAGTCATAGTAATATACTGGTATGTTGATAATATATGGTAATAACTTCAAAAATGAAGACATAAGTATTTAACTATCATGATAAAAACTCTTTGGGACTTCCCTGGTGGTGCAGTGGTTAAGAATCCGCCTGCTAATGCAGGGGACACGGGTTCGAGCCCTGGCCCGGGAAGATCCCACATGCTGTGGAGCAGCTAAGCCCGTGCGCCACAACTACTGAGCCTGCGCTCTACAGCCTGTGAGCCACAACTACTGAAGCCCACACGCCTAGATTCTGTGCTCTGCAACAAGAGAAGCCACCACAATGAGAAGTCTGCGCACCTCAACGAAGAGCAGCCCCCGCTCACCGCAACTAGAGGAAGCCTGCATGGAGCAACGAAGACCCAATGCAGCCAAAAATAAATAAATAAATAAAATAAATTTATAAGGAAATAAAAAGAATGGCATTATTTTAAAAAACCTCTTTAATAGCAGAATAAAACTCGTAATGTACAAGATTTTGTTTGAATACCTCTGTTCAAGTCTTTTGAGTACATACGTAGGAGTGGAATTGCTGGATCATGTGGTAATTCTATGTTTAACTTTTTTCCATTTTTTTATTGTGGTAAAATATATATAACATAAAATTTGCCATTCTAACCACTTTTAAGTGCATAATTCAGTGGCATTACTTATATTCACAATGTTGTATATTACCAACATCTATTTCCAAAACTTTTTTATCACCCCAAATAGAGATTCTGTTTCCGTTAAGCAATAATTCCCCATTCCCTTCTCCACCCAGTCCCTGGTAACCTCTAATCTACTTTCTGTCTCTATGAATTTCCCTATTCTAGATCTTTCATGTAAGTGGGAAGATACAGTGTTTGTCCTTTTGTGTCTGGCATGTTTTCAAGGTACATCCATATGTTGTAGCATATCAGAACTTTATTCCTTTTTATAGCTGAATAATATTCCATTGTATGTAAATACCACATTTGTTTGGTCCATTCGTCCGTTGATGGACACTTGGGTTATTTTCACCTTTCAGCTACTGTGAATAATGCTACAGTGAACACGATATGAGAATCTGTTTCAGTCCTATTTTCAGTTCTTTTGGGTTTAAACCTAAGAATGGAATTGCTGGGTCACATGGTAATTAATTCTATGTCTAGCTTTTTGAGGAATCGCCAATGTTTTCCACAGCAGTTGCACCATTTTACATTCCCACCAACAATGCATAAGCGTTCCCATTTCTGTATATCTTTGCTAACACTTGTTATTTTCCATCTTTTAAAAAAATTATAGCCATCCTAGTAGGTATAACGTGGTATCTCATTGTCCTTTTAAAAAGATTTTTATTTATTTTTAAATTATTATTATTTTTTTACGGCTGCGTCGGGTCTTAGTTGTGGCATGCGGGATCTTTCATTGCAGCACACGGGCTCTTCAATGCAGTGTGCGGGCTTCTCTAGTTGTTTCTTACGGGTTTTTTTCTTCTCTAGTTGTGATGTGTAGGCTCTGTAGTTTGCGGCACGTGGGCTCTAGTTGAGGTGCTGGAGCTCAGTAGTTGTGGCACGGGATTAGTTGCCCTGCAGCATGTGGGATCTTAGTTCCCTGACCAGGGATTGAACCCACATCCCCTGCATTGGAAGGTGGATTCTTAACCACTGGACCACCAGGGAAGTCCCCATTGTCATTTTGATTTGCATTTCCCTAATGACTGATGCTGAGCCTCTTTTCATGTTCCTATTGGTCATTTGTATATCTTCGGAGAAACATCTATTCAGTCTATTTAATTGGGTTGTTTGTCTTTTTGTTGTAGAGTTTAGGAGTTCTTTACATATTCTGCATAATAGGCCCTTGTCAGATATATGATTTGTAAATATTTTCTCCCATTCTGTAGGTTGTCTTTTCACTTTCTTCATAGTGTCCTTTGATGTGCAAGTCTTTAATTTCGATAAAGTCCAATTTATCTATTTTTCATTTATTGCTGTGCTTCCATTTATTTTTAAAACTATGAGTATATATTAATTTAATAAAAACTAATATTAGGACAAAAAAACAATTGAAGCAGTGAGAGACTAACTGGCAGTTCTGTGGGCAGGGCTTCTGTAGACACCTTCTCAGAAAACTGGTTTTAAATAACATACAGTAAAAATTATATCCAGGGCTTCTCTGGTGGCACAGTGGTTAAGAATCTGCCTGCCAATGCAGGGGACACGGGTTCGAGCCCTGGTCCGGGAAGATCCCACATGCTGCAGAGCAACTAAGCCTGTGCGCCACAACTACTGAGCCTGTGCTCTAGAGCCCACAAGCCACAACTACTGAGCCCATGCACCACAACTACTGAAGCCCACACGCCCAGAGCCTGTGCTCTGCAGCAAGAGAAGCCTCCTAACGAGAAGCCCACGCATCGTAATGAAGAGTAGCCCCCACTCGCCACAACTAGAGAAAAGCCCACGTGCAGCAACAGAGACCCAACACAGCCAAAAATAAAAATAATTAATTAAAAAATATTATATCAGGGCTTCCCTGGTGGCGCAGTAGTTAAGAATCCGCCTGCCAATGCAGGGGACACGGGTTCAAGCCCTGGGCCGGGAGGATTCCACATGCCACGGAGCAACTAAGCCCATGTACCACACTACTGAGCCTGAGCTCTAGAACCCACGTGCCACGACAGCTGAAGCCCACGCGCCTAGAGCCCTGTGCTCCGCAACAAGAGAAACCACCACAATGAGAAGCCTGCGCACCGCAACGAAGACCCAACGCAGCCAAAATTAAATAAATTAATTAATTTAAAAAATTATATCAAGATAACAAAGGGAACCAATTACATTAATATACAGTTTCTAAAATAGTGAATAAATTTGTGATATGATAATACTATATATACTTCTTTGTTAAGGCATTAAGTAATACAGTCTAGCAGTCAGTCTAAAATTACTATAATTTTAAAGTAATGATGACAGTAAACATTATTTCAAGATAACTGTGACCACTGTAATGTGATACGAAATTATCTTTGATTTCTATTGGTGACAATGTGACAGGTTCTGCTGACATTGAACTAAAGTGGTTTGTTGCCCATCTAAGTTTAAGGGCGTCCTGCTTTAGGGTGATTGGGTGACAAACTGGCCTTTGCCTTAGAAGATCTTGAAATGTCAGTATCTTTTCTCTAGGATCCTTCAGAATCTTCTTCAGAAAAGAATCCTCTGGTTTCTTTGGGGGCATGTGTCTGGTTGCTGGCATTCCAGGTGCAGGGTAGAGGGAGGGAGCTCGCAGGCTATCATTCACTCCATGCCGTCTGCCATTGACCCTGCCTGGTGGCCTAGGGTCAGAGCATCTAGAGCAGCGCTATTTGGTAAAAATATAATGTGAGCCACGTGCTTTAAATGTTCTAGGAGCTGCATTTAAAAAGCAAAAAGAAATAGGTGAAAATAATTTTTGTAAGTTATCTTACACAGTATGTCCAAAATAGTAGTGTTTCAACATACAGAATTACTGAGGTGTTACATTCCTTTTCATGCTAAGTACTTAAAATCCAGTGCATATTTTACTTTATCGTACATCTCAATCCAGAGAAACAACGTTGCCGGTGCTCGCTTGCTGCAAATGGCCGGGGGCCTTTGTATTGGACGGCGCAGATGAGGAGAATAAGCCTGGGTGGGCGTGCGCGGATACCTTAGTGACCCAGTGTTGGTGCAGCAGGTTAAACTTCTCTGTACTACACTTAATTCTAATTCTTTCTGGATTGAGAAGATGCTTACCTGCTAAACATATGTCACGTCAAACAGTATTGGTATTACCTTCCTGTAATATTATGGGGGGAGGGGTGCTCTTTCAACATGATGACATTTCTTAATAAGCAGCCCTCAACCCCTGCTGTTGAACCCAACCTCTGGATGGAGCCCTTTTCACAGCCCTACATCAGTGACTATAACTTAAAGATAAATGTAGTCACGTTGCTCTGTCCCTTAGATTCAAGATAAGTATTCTGACTGCTCAGGTAAATCAGTAACACCCATGCAGGTGGCTGCATCTCTTGAGTGGATTTTGTGTTATACCACCATCCATCTCCAGAACTTTTCATCTTCCCAAACTGACACTCTGTACCTATTAAATGCTAACTCCCCATTCTCCCTCTCCCAGCCCTTGGCAACCACCATTCTACTTTCTGTCTCTGAATCTGACTACTCTGGGTCCCTCATACAAGTGGAATCATACGGTCTTTGTCCTTCTGTGAGTGGCTTATTTCACTTAGCATAATGTCCTCAAGATTCATTCATGTTACAGCTTGTATCAGAATTTCGTTACTTTTTAAGGCTGAGTAATACTCTATTGTATGGAGAGACCACATTTTGCTTATCCATTCATGTGTCCGTGGATGCTTGGGTTGCTTCCATCTTTTTGTCTGTTGTGAATAATGACATTTCCTATCTCTTAGGACCACAATTCTTCGTTGACACCACCATGCTTTCTGATCAAATTGTGTACGTCCACCCAAGGCCCTGTGTGACTTATGGCCACAAGTTTTAATGTCACTGTTCTTACATATGTGGAAGAGCTTCACCAAGGAGGTACCTCAAGGAGACCATGATACCTTCATATCGTGCAGAAGCTTGGAGGATATTTACAGGCAGGGGGAGAGGACAGGGATTCCAGAAGCAGGAAGGGCAGGGCAGGTCCAGGAATCACAAGTGAAAAGGAAGGGGTGGGAAGAGGGGGATGGTGGGTCACAAGAGTAGGAAGCTGACTGAGAAGGGCCTCAAATATCAGATCAAAGGATTGGGCATTACCCTCCAGGCAGGAGAGAGCAGCTGGGGGATCTGAAGCAACAGTGAGATGGTCAGATTTTCTTTTTAGAAAGATCACCCTTGATTGCTGTGTGGAAAAAGCTTTGGAAACAGGGAGACCAGGGTGGTGGGGTGGAAGAGGAGGGAATGGATAAACAAGAAAATTTCTGAACGTTCTGAATGGACCGGCTAAAGGGGCACAGGGTTGGAGTCAGGTGAATCCCTCCAGCTTCCCTGGTTTGGGCCACAGGTGGATGGAGAGGTCATCAACTTGAAAGAGGGAGGCGGAGGCAGGGCGTGCTTGGCTGGATAAGGAGGGGCTCTTGGGGAAGCAAGATTACAGAGGTCAGGTTGTGCAGATGTCTTTCTTGCTGTTGAAGGAGATGCGGATGAAATGAACGCTTCAGCGTAGTCTGTGGGAACTCCTGTGGCCAGGGGGTTGATCAGGATTGTTCCAGAGTGAGTGGAGAATCAGAGAGCCTTGAACGCTGGGCGGCCTGCCATGAGCCAGCATTCGGCATTCATCGTCTTGTTTACTCCCGGCTATCCAGTGAGGTTGGAGCTATTAGAATCGTGTCTTGAAGAAGAAACACACAAATGGAGGTGAAGTGCTCTGCCACTCGTCTGAGCCTGCTTCCCCCCATTGTTCAGTGGCGGTAATGACCCCACCCTCAGCCTGTGGTGGGGTAAGATGAGACCCTGTGCATGCGGAGTGCTTGGTGGCGAATGGCAGCAGCCGTGCCTGCTGCAGCTGCCGTCACCATCACCCTAATTTGTGGATAGACGCAGCCCAGGCCAGGAGCTGAAAAGGCCACACCTCTAGCCTCAGTGCTGGGAGATGAGAGGTGAACGAGGGTAGACATAGAGCTAGCAGCCTGAGGGAAGGGGCCTGCCATCCCATTTCCCCAGCTCTGGCGAGGAAGGAAACTAAGAGACCTTGGGCGAGTCACCTCAGTTCTCCAGGCCTCCACTTCCTCACCTGTGAATTGGGTGGACCAGTACCAACCCCACAGGACTGTGTATTAATGTAAGATTAGAAACACAAAGCCCTTGGCAAGAACCCAAGAGGTGGTAGCATTTATTACAGTTGTTGTCGTTAATGTTGATATTAATATTACTAGAAACAGGCATTGTAGCCTCCTCCACTTTCACCAGTGGGCAGTTCTGAGTGCAGGTCTCCTTTTTAGGACCTCCCCTAAAGAACTAGTTTGTGTGTAGAGGCGTATACAAGGATGTCTTTGCTGTATTATTTGTAATAAAGCAGGCCCCTCACTGCCTATCACTAAGTGTTCAGTTACCTTTGTTGCATAAAAAGTGACCTCAAACTTAGTGACATAAAACAACCAGCATTTTATTATGGTTATGGCTGTAACAGTAGGTCAGCAATTCAGGAGGAGCATGGCAAGAACATCTCATCTCTGCTCCAAGATGTCTGGGGCCTCAGCTGGGATGACTCAGGGCCTGATATCCGACGGAAGGAATTACCTGAAGGTAGTTCACTCACATTTCTGGTGCCTAGACCAGAGTGACCTAAAGACCAGGACTGCTTGCCGGAGACCCTGTGTACGTCTTCTCCACGGGACTTTGCTTCCTCACAGGCAGCCTCGGGGCAGTCAGACTTCTTACCTGTTGGCTCCGGGCTCCAGGCTAACAAGGCTGCCTTGCCTTTGATGACCTCGCCTCAGAACTCACCTGGGATCTCTACCGCTGTATTTTACTGGCGACAAGAAGTCACAAGCCCACCCAGGTTCAAGGACGGGGAGAATTAGACCCCGCCTCTTGATAGGGGAGTGTCAGGGTTCTAGAAGAACTCGAGAGACAGGAGACACTGCTGGGGTCATCTTTGGAAAATACAGTCTGCCACAATACAGAACCAGTTCAATCTAATACGCGGCAGTTACAAAGAGCGCTTTTACTACTGAACAGTATGTTGTGAAGTTCTGTCTAGTTTGACGCATACAGATCTGCTTCAGTTTGGTTAAATTCTGTGACGTGTTCAGTGAGATACATGAAATACTGCATTTTCTTTGCCCACGTTCCTGACGATGGATGTTTAGGTGTTTTCAGGGTTTTATCAGCATCTTGGCACATGTCTTTCTTGGCATCATATGTGAGAGAATCTCTCTAGGATACTTACCTTCCTTGGACAGAATTGCTGGATGGATGGAAACACATTTTATATTTTAATCAGTTCTGCCTGATCGCTCTCCAAAGGTTATACCAGTGTATCCTTACACCAACAGTGTTGGAAAATTTCCATTTCTCTTGTATCCTCACTGATGCTTGATCCTGTCAGACTCTAAATTAATTATTTGGTAAGTGGAAAAGTATATCTGGTTGATTTATTTTGTATTTACTTTGTTATTTGAGAAGCTATGCATATTTTCATTAGTTTATTGGCTCTTTCAACTTTTTCTCCTGTGAATTGCCCAGATAGTTCATTTTTCTATTGCATTGTCAGTGTTTTTAAAATTGATTTGTAGTTCTTTATATATGTGGATACTTAATACTGTGTCATATATATATATATAGTTTTATTTTATATATTTATATATATATGAATGCTTGTGGGATCTTAGTTTCCCAACCATGGATTGAACCTGGGCCCCCTGCAGTGAAAGCACCGAGTCCTAACCACTGGACCGTCAGGGAATTCCTAAAATTAATGATGTCTTTATCACTTTTTTTTTGCTTGTTTTTTTGGCCATGCCACGCAGCTTGCGGGATCTTAGTTCCCTGGCCCCCTGCAGTGGACCACCAGGGAATTCACGAAATTAATGATGTTTTTATCACTATTATTTTTGGGTTTTGGGGTTTTTTTTGTTTGTTTTTTTGTTTTTTTGCGGTATGCGGGCCTCTCACTGTTGTGGCCTCTCCCGTTGCGGAGCACAGGCTCCGGACGTGCAGGCTTAGCGGCCATGGCTCACGGGCTCATCCGCTCCATGGCATGTGGGATCTTCCTGGACCGGGGCACGAACCCGTGTCCCCTGCATCGGCAGGCGGACTCTCAGCCACTGCGCCACCAGGGAAGCCCCATCTTAACCATTTTTAAGTGTCCAGTTCAGTGGTATTAAGTGCATTCACATTGTTGTACAGCACAGCAGCTGTGCTATTTTACATTCCTGCCAGTAGTGCACAAGAATTCTAGTTTCTCCACATCCCTGCCAACACTTGCTGTTTTGTTTTCTTTTGATAGTGGCCTTCCTAATGCGTATGAGGTGGTATCTCATTGTAGTTTTATTTTTAATTTTTATTTGAGTATAGTTGATTTACAATGTTGTGTTTCAGGTGTACAGCAATGTGAATCAGTTATACATATACATATGTCCACTTTTTTTATATTCTTTTCCCATATAGGTCATTACAGAGTATTGGGTAGAGTTCCCTGTGCTATACAGTAGGTCCTATTAGTTAGCTATTTTATATACAGTAGTGTATGTCAATCCCAATCTCCCAATTTATCCCTTTCCCCCTTCCCCCCTGGTAACCATAGGTTTGTTTTCTACATCTGTGACTGTATTTCTATTTCGTAAATAAGTTCACTTGTACCGTTTTTTTAGATTCCACATATAAGTGATACCGTATGATATTTGTCTTTCTCTGTCTGACTTCACTCAGTGTGACAATCTCTAGGTCCATCCATGTTGCTGCAAATGGCATTATTTCATTTTTATGGCTGAGTAATATTCCATTGTATATACGTACCACATCTTCTTTATCCACTCCTCTGCCAATGGACATTTATGTTGTTTCCATGTCTTGACTATTGTAAATAGCACTGTAATGAACATTGGGGTGCATGTATCTTTCTGCATTATGGTTTTCTCCAGATATATGCCCAAGGAGTGGGATTGCTGAATCAAAGGGCAGCTCTACTTATAGTTTTTCAAGGAAAAAATTTACATTCCCACCAACAGTGTAGAAGGGTTCCCTTTTCTCCACACCCTCTCCAGCCTTTATTGTTTGTAGATTTTCTGATGATGTCATTCTGACCGGTGTGAGGTGATACCTCATTGTAGTTTTGATTTGCATTTCTCTAATGATTAGTCATGTTGAGCATCTTGTCATATGTTTGTTGGCCATTTGATATTTTTTTTGGAGAAATGTGTGTTGAAGTCATTTGCCCATTTTTGAATCAGGTTGGGATTTTTTTGGTGGTTGTTTAAGTTTTAGGAGTTCTCTATATATTCTGAATATTAATCTCTCATCCAGATATATGACTTGCAAATGTTTTCTTCCATTCTCTGAGTTACCCTTTTACTCTGTACATAATGACTTTTAATGAACAAAATTTTTAAATTTTCACGAAGTCCAGTTTTTCTGTTTTTTCGTTGTTTCCCTGTGCCTTTGGTGTTAGAGCTACGAAATCGTTGCCAAATCCAATGTCCTGAAGCTTTTGTCCTATATTTTCTTATAAGAATTTTGTTGTTTTAGGTTTTAAATTTAGGTTCTTGATCCATTTTGAGTTATGGTATCACATAACAATCTAACTTCACTTTTTTGCATGTGGATATCCAGTTTTCTCCACACCATTTGTTGAAAATATTGTTCTTTCCCCATTGAATGGGCTTGGTACCCTTGTCAAAAATCACTTGATCATGTTTGCGAAGGTTTATTTCAGGGCTGCAATTTTATTCCATTGATCTATATGTCTGTCTTTAGGCCAGTACCACGCTGATTTGATTATTGTGGCTTTGTAGTAAGTTCTGAAATCAGGATGTGTGAATCCTCCTGTTTTATTCTTTTTTAAGATTGCTTTTAATGTTTGGGATGCCCTGAGATTCCATATGAATTTTAAGATGGATTTTTCTATTTCTGCAAAAAACATTATTGGAATTTTGATAGGAATTGTATTGAATCTGAAGATTGCTTTGGGTAGTATTGACTTTTTTTTTTTTTTTTTTTTGCGGTACGCGGGCCTCTCACTGCTGTGGCCTCTCCCGTTGCGGAGCACAGGCTCCAGACGCGCAGGCTCAGTGGCCATGGCTCACGGGCCCAGCCGCTCCGTGGCATGTGGGATCTTCCCAGACTGGGGCACGAACCCGTGTCCCCTGCATCGGCAGGCGGACCCTCAACCACTGCACCACCAGGGAAGCCCAGTATTGACTTTTTAACAGTATTAAGTCTTACAGTTCATGAACATGGGACTTGTTTCCATTTATCATATCTTCTTAATAACTACAAAACAGCAGTGTTTTGTAGTTTTCATTGTGTAAGTCTGTCACCTCCTTAATTAGTTAATTCCTAAATATTTTATTCTTTCTGATGTTATTGTAAATGGAATCATTTTTGTAATTTCCTTTTCAGGTTGTTTATTGTTAGTATTAGAAATGCAACTGATTTTTGTGTGTTGACTTTGTATTCTGCCTACTTTGCTGAATTCATTTATTAGTTCTATCGGGAGTTTTTTGGTGGAATCTTTTGGGTTTTCTATGTATAAGATCGTATCATCTGCAAACGGAGATAATTTTACTTCTTCCTTTCCTGTTTGGATGCCTTTTATTTCTTTTTCTTGACTAACTGCTCTGGCTAGAACCTCCAGTCCTATGTTGAGGTAAAGTGATGTATGTGGGCATCCTTGCCTTATCCTCGATCTTAGAGAAAACACCCTGGAGTATGATGTTCGCTGTGGGTTTTTCATGTATGGCTTTTATTTTGTTGATGTAGTTTCATTCTGTTCCTAGTTTGTTGAGTGTTTTTCTCATGAAAGAGTGTTGAATTTTGTCAGATGCTTTTCCTGCATCAATTGAGATGATTGTGTGGTTTTTCCCCTTCATTTTGTTGATGTGGCATGTTACACTGACCAGCTTTCATATGTTGAACCATCCTTATAATACATCGCACTTGGTCGTATGTATAATCCTTTTAATATACTGCTGAATCCTGTTTGCTAATATTTTGTTGCGGATTTTTGCATCAGTGTACATAAGGGATAATGGTCTCTAGTTTTCTTGTAGTGTTTTTTTCTGGCTTTGGTATCAAGGTAATGCTGGATTCATAGAATGAGTTAGGAAGTGTTTCCTCCTCTTCAGTGTTTTGGAAAAATTTGAGAAGGAGTGGTGTTAGTCATCTTTAAATGTTTGGTAGAATTCAGCAGTGAAACCACTGGGTTCAGAGCTTTTCTTTGTTGGGAAATTTGTGATTACTGATTCAAAACTATTCAGATTTTCTATCTTTTCATGGTTTAGTCTTGGTAGGTTTTGTGTTTCTGTGAATTTGTCCGTTTCGTCTAGGTTATCCAATTTGTTGGTGTACAGTTGTTCTAGTACTCCCTTATAATCCTTTTTATTTCTGTAGAATTGGTAGTAATGTCCCTACTTTCATTTTTTATTGTAGTATTTGAGTCTTTTCTTTTTTTCTTAGTCTATCTAGTTAAAGTTTTGTCAGTTTTGTTGATCTTTTTGAAGAACCAACTTTTGGTTTTTTGATTTTTCTTTGTTGTTTCCCTATTCTCTATTTCATTTAGCTCTGTTCTAATCTTTATTATTTCCTTCCTTCTGCTAGCTTTGGGATAGTTTGTTCTTTTTCTAGTTTCTTAGGTTGTAAAGTTAGATTGTTGATTTTAGATCTTTCCTAAGTTTTTTTTTTTTTAAAAGGGTACATAGTGGTTACTTTCTTTTTTTTTTTTTTTTTGCTGCATTGCATCTTCATTGCTGCACGCGGGCTTTCTCTAGTTACGGCTAGCAGGGGCTACTCTGTTGTGGTGTGTGGGCTTCTTGCGGTGGCTTCTCTTTGTTGTGGAGCACAGGCTCTAGGCATGTGGGCTTCAGTAGTTGTGGCATGCAGGCTCAGTAGTTGTAGCTCGCGGGCTGTAGAGCGCAGGATCAGTAGTTGTGGCGCACGGACCTAGTTGCTCCACGGCATGTGGGATGCTCCCGGACCACGGCTCACTGGAGAGATGTTTTGAAGTCTCTGCTTTCCTCACTGATTAGTGATGCCAGTCAGTCATAACCACTGCCAGATTGCTACACACACAGGGGTGTGTTTCTCAGTTCTGTTCTGCTGCCCTTTTGTCTATTTCTGTGTTAATACAACTTTTAGTTGCCATAGCTTTTTAACATGCCTTGGCATCTGATAGGGTGAATCCCCTTCCTTATTCTTTTTGTTCAGTAAGAAAAAGTCTATATCTTCATTCTTCCAATACCAATTTGAGAATTAGTATATCAAGTTCCTCAGAAAAATTTTCCTGGGTCGCTGACTAGAAATAGAGTTTATAGATTACTTTGGGAAAAACTGATACCTGAGAAATATTGAGTCTTCTTAGCTATGAATGAAGTTTATCTCTCCATTTATTCAACATCTCCATTTTATATCC